ACAGAGCACCTGTAGTCATCAACGTTGGTTTCAGTATTGGTTGGGTTGCACACTCGCAAGTAGACGACTGCTTCCACTGAGACCGGAACATAATCCAGCGACAGGATCTTGGGGTGTTAGAGTCGGTTAGTTAAGACTCGCACATTATAACACTCGAACCATCATAGGTGAAGAGAAATGGACGCCGACTGACGTAAATCCTTTCTTTATGTATGCAAAAAGCATTAGTTAAATTTTTGCGCAAGGGATTAAAGATATGATGGAAGAGTTGGTTGGAAAAAAGGAAAAAAGACAACTCTGGTTCCATGATATCTTCGCTAAGCAGTAAGGAAGTGGGAATATGCATTTATGTAAAGGCTCAAAACTCAAATGCATATCACATCCCTTATCAGGTCTGAAGAGTTTCATGACTTTTGTTCCAGGACGTTAGGGTTCGTTTTTATCAATTCATTTCCTCTGGATGGAAAGGAAAAAATGTGAAAACAAACTAGGTGCAAAGGGGCTTTATGTATACAAAAAGAAATTGGATACTATGTGTGAGTACTAATTTCTCAACAACCTCTAACACAACACACCCATACACTCATTAGTTAAAGGCGAAGCAGACGTAACGACGTTTAAAAAAAAAAGAAAAAATAAAGGAAAATTATGTTTGGAGAGTGTAGTTGATCCGCTTGAAGTCTAGGTGGTCGAGAGTCATTTTAGGGAAAAGGATGGGATGAGAGAATAATAATAAGTAAAAAAAAGACGAACACAGGATAGAGGAAAAATAAGAATCGTGTTGAGAACGAAAACAATGGAAACAACACTACGAGTTCGCGGATGGAAAAGGAAACAACCACGGTGCTGAGTGTGAGACAAACGGGCGATAACCGGGCATGCAGTTTCGGCCAAAGGCCTTTCTTGTATCATTATTCTTTAATTGTCGGGGAAGTTTATCAACCCTTCGCTATTTCGTGTGGGTCACTGTAAGCGAAAAATCGGGATGAAAGCATTTGATTCTGTACCAAAGTAGATAAACGGAAATAAGTAATTCAATACTGTTTACAGACTGAGTTACAGGCAAGGATTTTAAGCATTTATCTCGGTACAGAATCTCTGCCGACATCTCTTCCCCTAACATCACATTTTCAGTTACTGTGAGAATAAGGCCAGGACGCCTCTCTCGCACCGTTAGTAAACTTTGCTGAACACTGAACACGTCTCCTCGTTTGGCATGGTGGATGAAGTTCAGACTCGAACCAAACCAACTGAGGAATCTGGCCATTTGGAGCCAACGTAAACATTCATTTGTGATGTTTAGAAACCTGAGGCTTCACTACAGACAGCCAAATAGCTGGCAAGACCGGGTTAATACTTCGTGTGTATTATCGTCTTGAGTAATGAAGTGGAAGACAGAGAAGAAGAAAAAATAAAAAAGGTCACCAGGCTACGAGTCACCAGGTCAGACGAAGGTCGTAGACAGGTGAGCGAGTTCGGATCGTTCCGCCACAAGAAGGAAACACCAGGGACAGAAAAGCGGAACCTTCATGACCTAGTCGAAGGTATACCAAGAACCCAACAGTCTCGTAAACAAGGAAAAGGAAAAAAAAATTGATTGTTTACTTTTTATCTACGAGACTACGTGGTTTTGGCTGGTTCGAGAGGTCTAGGGAGAGGATTAGAGCTGCTACTAGCTAGCCAGCAAGCTAAAGTCTATGAGCACACCCGCTTGGATGGCTGCCAGGCCAGATATGGAACCCAGCCGTTGTGATAATGTCTAAATAAAGAGCATCTAAAACAGATAATTATAAAAAGTGGTCTCCGGTAGTTATCAGACAGTGCACCTGTAGTCATCAACGTTGGTTTCAGCATTGGTTGGGTTGCACACTCGCAAGTAGATGACTGCTTCCACAGAGACCGGAACAGAGTCCAGCGACAGGATCTTGGGATGTTAGAGTCCGGTTAGTTAAGACTCGCACATCCGGACGCTTGGACCAGAATGGCGAAGAAAAAGGGCACAGAGAGATTTGGGATCTTCTCTTTATGTATACAAAAATTAGAAATGGAAAATTAAGATTGCAACAAGATTTGTAAAGTCTTATTTTGGACATCAAACTTCTTTTTTTTCAGTGAAAATGAATACGTCATTTAAGATATTCAGAAAATAAAAGATTATTGATTACACACAAAAAATTGAATTAGGGCCTAAGTACAATATGCATACTTGTTGATATTTACTGAAGTAAAGTGATTTATAAAAGGGGGACCACATGATCTATCGTATATCTTGTATACAAAAAGAGTCCGGATTGTGACTAGTTTCCACAGTAGCCTCCAAAAAAATAAATAATAATAATAATAAGTTACTTAAGCTTAGGGCGAGGTGAAGGTGGTGGCGGTTTCGCTGAGACTTAAGTGAACTATTGAAAAAAAAGAAGAAAAAATGGTGATTTGATTTTTGGAAGTCTAAATCTACTTACAAAAAGTTAGACACCATTAAAAAAAGAAAATAAAAGACAAAGCAGAGAAGTGCTCCTTGATGCAAAATGTTGTCTTCTGCGACACATCGGTATTATGAAAGCACAAATGATTTGGTTAAGAGAAAAAAAAATGGTGAATGTTACATCTCCTTTTGTGCTTTATTATATGAGGATAATAAAAGCTGTAGAAAATGGCAGGTTGTGAGACAGGAATAGTTTGCACGTAACCAATTGTGAATGTCTCAGACAGCGAACCAAGGAAAGCACTACCGTAGCGTGTGAAGGAATGGCTCTCAGTATCATCAGACAAGAATCCACAATATCAGGTATTAACCGTAGCCTTTCAGCGGAAGGAATCTTCAACTGATTTTCAATTTTTTTTTTCTTTCTTTTTTTTTGGACTATGTATGTTGATGATGTGTTTGTGCGAAACCTGAAGTTCTCACACGTAATTCACCTTTCTGTAAAGGAATGACTCATTTCCGGTAAATGATTGTCTTAGACCTTATTTTGTTATTGTCATCAGTAACACACATGTCTACACTTGGACCCATTGGTATTGTTCTCGTGCTGAACGTTCTTTCAGTCTATTAAATCATGAACTTGCTGAATGAAACTTAGGGCATATGTGGGTGTTGAGAAACGGAAATAACAGTGAGAAACGCGAGAACGAAAGAACGGTGCAGAGCGTGGTAGTGACGTCACCGGCATGCACACGTTCCGGCTGGGTCCATTCTCTCGGTGGGGGAGTCGCCTCTACTCCTTTTCACCGCAGCTGGATCACGGTGATGTACCAAAGGATGACAGGCTGAAACTTTCCCAAAACTCCTCGACTAAGGTACGAAAAAAAAAAAAAATGATGGCGGACACGAGGAACTCCCTCACCGAGAAAAGCACCAAGCTTCCATATTCCTCTAGGATCATTAATATAAGTATTTCAACGATTGGTCAGTCCACCCCACTTGTAACTAAGAGATGTGATCGTGTAGACTATAGAGCAAACTTGTTATTCTAGATTGTAGACTTACGGCGCCTGCTAGCCACAAGACAAACCATACAGCATGGCCAGAAAAGCTGCCTTCGTGACCAAGTCGAAGTTAGACCAAGTACACACACAGTAAAACAAGAAAAGAAAAAAAAAGAACGGCAATTTTCTTTGACTTCAAGGGATATTCCTATATCTCTATGTTTTGTACATATACATATATACACACAATACATGTATATCTATAGTTATATTTAGAAGTGCCGTTATAAACATTCTAGCTCTGAGAGTCTTCTGTTTAACCTGGAATACAGATAAACTCTCTCTCTATGGATCGTGTAGCCTCGTTTCTTGCTTCCTTCGACTGGTCCAAGGGAAGGATTGAGCTGTAGTAGCTAGCATGCGAGCCATCACATATAATTTGTAGGATTTCCATTAGTATCTACATGTTTTGGCGATTATGAATGACCGAAATTAGATAAATCTACATGACCATTAAAAACAATCTACTTGTAAGTGTTAAGGTAAAAATATAACTCCATGACGCCCGACGGATGGCTAGCAGGCCGGCCAACCTCGCCACTCTTGTACTTAGGAGCATCTAACAAGAGCAAAAGAAGGAATACGCATTTTCTCTCAGGCAATGGCACCTGTAGTCGTCTACGTTGGTCTCGGCACTGATGGCGTTGCAGACCTTCAGGTAGATGACTGCGTCTACAGTAACAGAGACCGAATCCAGGGACAGGATCTTAGGGGGAGAAGGCAATATGACGGCTGTCAATCGTGGTTCCCTCCCGGCCTACCGCTAGTAAATGGCTGGGGGAACTCAAGCTGGAGGGGGGGCTTCTTCTAGCCTGAGGGGGGAGGGGTTGCCTAGCCTACACACTAGGACAGTCTAGCCCTAATGATCATCGCTAGACTGACACACAAAGGCTTCGTCTTTGATAAATCAACGGCTCTGGGCACTGCATGAACGCCGAAGCTGTTTCTTCGCTCTGTCCGAATCTCTTTTGAAGCTTCGGTCGCACACCAGATCTCAAAGTCGTTGATGGTGTAATATACATGGAAACAAAAAAAAGAAAAAGAAGAAATCGAAGATCTTAAGTACAATAGCTTATGGAATACTCAAGAACAAATGAGCTTGTGCAAACCTTTTTTGTCTTTTTTTTCTCTTGGCATTCTAAATTTATGAGCATGAAAATAAAGCGCCTGAGGTCGGAAAATACCTAAGACGTATGTAGAAGAGCATGTACCAAACCAACACCTCTGAGAACATTGCACAAACACCGACCCTTTGTATAGCCAGCGTTACATGGGTACTGAAAGGGAACACTGATTACTCAAGTCGTAAATCTAGTACAAAAATGAACAAAGCCTCGCCAGTCTTCATTTATACCTGAAATATGAAACTGATGTGAAATATAGTCTCACGTCTGGAGTATAAGTATACAGTTTATAAAATATGGTCGTGTCTTAGATATATATAACCAAATGTAATGTATAAACAATGAACATTGTATGGAGCTACGCCATGCTAACAGCTTAATGCCTACCTCTTGTGGCGGCACATCGAAGGAGACGGTTCGGAGGTCAACCTTCCTGTAGGAGTCGATGCAGGGGACGATGAAGAAGATGCCAGGCCCTTTGGCGCCGCCCTTGAGCAGACGACCGAGCCTGAAGATGACGGCTCGCTCGTACTCCTGGACCACCTACAGGAGAGAAACCGCACCGGGTTGAATGCACGGACCGGCGTGGCGAGAGACCCTCTCTGTGGCTTTTCTCTTTGGGCGAACCGAGCAAATAATAAAAATAATCATGTTTATGTATACATATATATATATATATATATATATATATATATATATATATATATATATATATATATATATATATATATGTATATATATATATGTATATATATATATATATATATATATATATATATATATATATACATATATAAACATATATATATGTATATACATACATACATACATACATATATATATATATATATATATATATATATATATATATATATATATATATACATGTAAATATATATATGTGTGTGTGTGTGTGTGTGTGTGTGTGTGTGTGTGTGTGTGTGTGTGTGTGTGTGTGTGTGTGTGTGTGTGTGTGTGTGTGTGTGCGCGCGCGTATACACACACACACACACACACATATATATATATATATATATATATATATATATATATATATATATATATATATATACATATATTTATGTATATGTATATGTATATATATATATATATATATATATATATATATATATATATATATATATACATATGCATATATGTATATATATATATATATATATATATATATATATATATATATATATATATATATATATATATATATATATATATATATATGCATATATATACGCATGTGTTCGTATCTACTTTGTAGCGTGCCGTTTATTCGTGCTATTATTTTTCTCCAAAGCTTCAAGTAAAGTTAATTTGACTACTTATTCTAAATAAGATTGTTATAGTATGGGTTCCTTTTACGTGTATATAGCTACATGATATATGTGTATATATATATATATATGTATATATATATATATATATATATATATATATATATATATATATATATATATATATATATATATATGTATATGTACATATAAATTCATATACTATTTTTATTAATCTATCTATTTGTATATACATCTTATAATCATGTGCTCGCATGATGAAGCATGAGGTATAATCTCTCCATGTAAACAAATGTAGAAGTATCTGTCCATGGAACAGAATTGCAGGTGTATCATTAGCCGATTAATTTGTCAGTGTGGGGGGGGGGGGCTAATTGCTCCAAATATTACCTTTGATATAAAAAAAAATTCTATAGATATCATGGTATTTCATTTGCATGATCATTATCAGATTTTAGTTTGGTGGAAATTGAAGTCATTTGAGTCTGTTTTCTATTTTTTCTTGCAAATGGGGTTCGTGGCGTCATTAGAGATATATTACTGATGTCCAAAGAAAATGCTTTTGGGATTCGATTTGCTTTAAATAGGCGGAGAAGAATCAGGTAGAGTAGTAGGGAATAAGGCGATGAGGAATAGCTGGAAATAGTATAATGATCGTGATGATGTTAGTGATGGTGATGATGGTTATAGTGATGGTGAGGATGGTTATAGTGTTAAGGTGATGTTTGTGTTTATGATAATGTGATAATGAAAATGATAGTGACAATGATACTGTAATGCTACGATGGTCATTATACTGTCAGTAATCAATATATAAAAAAAAAAAATGAAGAGAAAAATCAAGAAACCCAACTATGAAAGTGAAATAGAAAAAAAAGAGGAAGATAAAAAACAGGAAACAAGAAACGCCACACGCAACACGCACTTCATTTTGTTCAGACATTTCCTCCGCGTCTTATAGCCGAACATCCGAACAATCCGTTGAGGCGGAGAGAACCATTTCCCCCTCCCCCTCCCCCCTCTCTGTATCAGTTTAAAAAAAATACGAAACGCGACTCGATTTCACTCTCCGAGAAGAAGAAGAAGAAGAAGAAGAAGAAGAAGAAGAAGAAGAAGAAGAAGAAGAAGAAGAAGAAGAAGAAGAAGAAGAAGAAGAAGAAGAAGAAGAAGAAGAAGAAGAAGAAGAAGAAGAAGAAGAAGAAGAAGAAGAAGAAGAAGAAGAAGAAGAAGAAGAAGAAGAAGAAGAAGAAGAAGAAGAAGAAGAAGAAGAAGAAGAAGAAGAAGAAGAAGAAGAAGAAGAAGAAGAAGAAGAAGAAGAAGAAGAAGAAGAAGAAGAAGAAGAAGAAGAAGAAGAAGAAGAAGAAGAAGAAGAAGAAGAAGAAGAAGAAGAAGAAGAAGAAGAAGAAGAAGAAGAAGAAGAAGAAGAAGAAGAAGAAGAAGAAGAAGAAGAAGAAGAAGAAGAAGAAGAAGAAGAAGAAGAAGAAGAAGAAGAAGAAGAAGAAGAAGAAGAAGAAGAAGAAGAAGAAGAAGAAGAAGAAGAAGAAGAAGAAGAAGAAGAAGAAGAAGAAGAAGAAGAAGAAGAAGAAGAAGAAGAAGAAGAAGAAGAAGAAGAAGAAGAAGAAGAAGAAGAAGAAGAAGAAGAAGAAGAAGAAGAAGAAGAAGAAGAAGAAGAAGAAGAAGAAGAAGAAGAAGAAGAAGAAGAAGAAGAAGAAGAAGAAGAAGAAGAAGAAGAAGAAGAAGAAGAAGAAGAAGAAGAAGAAGAAGAAGAAGAAGAAGAAGAAGAAGAAGAAGAAGAAGAAGAAGAAGAAGAAGAAGAAGAAGAAGAAGAAGAAGAAGAAGAAGAAGAAGAAGAAGAAGAAGAAGAAGAAGAAGAAGAAGAAGAAGAAGAAGAAGAAGAAGAAGAAGAAGAAGAAGAAGAAGAAGAAGAAGAAGAAGAAGAAGAAGAAGAAGAAGAAGAAGAAGAAGAAGAAGAAGAAGAAGAAGAAGAAGAAGAAGAAGAAGAAGAAGAAGAAGAAGAAGAAGAAGAAGAAGAAGAAGAAGAAGAAGAAGAAGAAGAAGAAGAAGAAGAAGAAGAAGAAGAAGAAGAAGAAGAAGAAGAAGAAGAAGAAGAAGAAGAAGAAGAAGAAGAAGAAGAAGAAGAAGAAGAAGAAGAAGAAGAAGAAGAAGAAGAAGAAGAAGAAGAAGAAGAAGAAGAAGAAGAAGAAGAAGAAGAAGAAGAAGAAGAAGAAGAAGAAGAAGAAGAAGAAGAAGAAGAAGAAGAAGAAGAAGAAGAAGAAGAAGAAGAAGAAGAAGAAGAAGAAGAAGAAGAAGAAGAAGAAGAAGAAGAAGAAGAAGAAGAAGAAGAAGAAGAAGAAGAAGAAGAAGAAGAAGAAGAAGAAGAAGAAGAAGAAGAAGAAGAAGAAGAAGAAGAAGAAGAAGAAGAAGAAGAAGAAGAAGAAGAAGAAGAAGAAGAAGAAGAAGAAGAAGAAGAAGAAGAAGAAGAAGAAGAAGAAGAAGAAGAAGAAGAAGAAGAAGAAGAAGAAGAAGAAGAAGAAGAAGAAGAAGAAGAAGAAGAAGAAGAAGAAGAAGAAGAAGAAGAAGAAGAAGAAGAAGAAGAAGAAGAAGAAGAAGAAGAAGAAGAAGAAGAAGAAGAAGAAGAAGAAGAAGAAGAAGAAGAAGAAGAAGAAGAAGAAGAAGAAGAAGAAGAAGAAGAAGAAGAAGAAGAAGAAGAAGAAGAAGAAGAAGAAGAAGAAGAAGAAGAAGAAGAAGAAGAAGAAGAAGAAGAAGAAGAAGAAGAAGAAGAAGAAGAAGAAGAAGAAGAAGAAGAAGAAGAAGAAGAAGAAGAAGAAGAAGAAGAAGAAGAAGAAGAAGAAGAAGAAGAAGAAGAAGAAGAAGAAGAAGAAGAAGAAGAAGAAGAAGAAGAAGAAGAAGAAGAAGAAGAAGAAGAAGAAGAAGAAGAAGAAGAAGAAGAAGGAGAAGAAGAAGAAGAAGAAGAAGAAGAAGAAGAAGAAGAAGAAGAAGAAGAAGAAGAAGAAGAAGAAGAAGAAGAAGAAGAAGAAGAAGAAGAAGAGAGAGAGAGAGAGAGAGAGAGAGAGAGGAAGAGAGAGAGAGAGAGAGAGAGAGAGAGGAGAAAGAGAGGCAGAGAGAGGCAGAGAGGAGAGAGAGAGAGAACGAGAGAAACTAAGGGAGAGAGAAAGAGAGCGCAAAAATACAGACGCAAAAATTTAAAGAAAGAAAGACAGAAAGGAAGCAAGTAAAGGAAGATAGAAAACAAGAAAGAAAGAAAGAAAGAAAGCAAAGAAGAGAGAAAGAGAAAGCAAGCAAGAAGAAAATAAGGCAAGAAAGCAAGAAAGGGAAAAAGAAAACAAGAAAGAAAGAAAGCAAGAACGAAAACAAAAAAAAGAAAGCAAGAAAGGAAGAAAGAAAGAAAGAAATCAAGCAAACAAGCAAGCAAGCAAGAAAGCTGGATGCTCCTCATGTGTTGTCCTTCAGGGAAAGATCTAGTCACGTGGTTTGTTCGCGTCTGGCGGGCCAAGAGTCATGGGATTTCTTTGAAAGGAGAAGAAGAAGAAGAAGAAGAAGAAGAAGAAGAAGAAGAAGAAGAAGAAGAAGAAGAAGAAGAAGAAGAAGAAGAAGAAGAAGAAGAAGAAGAAGAAGAAGAAGAAGAAGAAGAAGAAGAAGAAGAAGAAGAAGAAGAAGAAGAAGAAGAAGAAGAAGAAGAAGAAGAAGAAGAAGAAGAAGAAGAAGAAGAAGAAGAAGAAGAAGAAGAAGAAGAAGAAGAAGAAGAAGAAGAAGAGAGAGAGAGAGAGAGAAAGAGAGGCAGAGAGAGGCAGAGAGAGAGAGAGAGAGAACGAGAGAAACTAAGGGAGAGAGAAAGAGAGCGCAAAAATACAGACGCAAAAATTTAAAGAAAGAAAGACAGAAAGGAAGCAAGTAAAGGAAGATAGAAAACAAGAAAGAAAGAAAGAAAGAAAGCAAGAGAGAAAGAGAAAGCAAGCAAGAAGAAAATAAGGCAAGAAAGCAAGAAAGGGAAAAAGAAAACAAGAAAGAAAGAAAGCAAGAAAGCAAGCAAGCAAGAAGAAAATAATGCAAGAAAGCAAGAAAGAAAGCAAGAAATCAAGCAAGCAAGCAAGCAAGAAAGCTGGATGCTCCTCATGTGTTGTCCTTCAGGGAAAGATCTAGTCACGTGGTTTGTTCGCGTCTGGCGGGCCAAGAGTCATGGGATTTCTTTGAAAGAGAGGAGAAGAGAAGGCG